ACAGACACAAACAAACCAAAGAACGAGACAAACCGACAGAGAAAGAGAGAGAGAAAGGAGAAAAGTTCTCGAACAGAACAAAATAATAACTTTTAAATGGCAGTTCAGAACATACATTTGCCGAACGCGGATTTACAACCCCGATATATATAAATACAAGAGCAAGAACCATTTAAAAACCCACTAAATTTCCAGAATGAGTACTTGCAAAGCCATTATATCAACAGATGCATGTCAATTGAAGAACGTCGTTGAAGGGAATGAATGGAGCTGCCATTAATCAAAGGAACAGAGAATGGACGTGATTGTCCGCTACACAAGGGTGGTCTTAAAGGGGGAACCGGATTACGTGTCAAGGGTCAAGAGATTTGATATTACTCAGGTGTGTTTCGAGATCGACACACCCAAGGAGGAGGGGGAAAAGGGGGGGGGGGGAAGGAAAAGGGGGGAGGAGGGGAGGTGGGTTAAGGAGGGGCGGGGAGGAAGGAGGGGATGGGAGGAGGGAGAGGGATAAGGGAGGGGGTGGGATTAAGAAGGGGGAGGGTAGAGGGGGGTGCTAGGAAGAGGGAGGGGGAAGGGAGGGGTGGGGATTAGGAAGGGGGAAAGGGTGGTGGGAAGAGGGAGAGGAAGGAGGGGATAGTAGGAAGAAGCGGGGGAGAGGGGAGGGGTGGAGGAAGAAGGAGGGAGGAGGGAGGGGATGGTAAGAAAGGTGAGGAGGGAGAGGGGAGAATATGAAGGGGGAGAGGGAAAAAATGCAGTGAGAAAAATTGAGGAAATTTTAATAGAGAGAAGCAAGGGAGGAGGAGAGAAGGAATGGGAAGAAGGTGGGGAGAGAGAGGTGAAGGAAGGAGAAAACTAAATGAAATTAAAGTAAAAGAGCCGGAAGAGGGTAGAACGAAGTAGGAAGCGGGACAGTGAGAAGGAGGAAGAAAACCAGAGAAATTCTATGTGAGATGGAAGGAGGGAATAGAAGAGAAGAGAAAGAGAGACAGAGTGAGAGAGAGAGAGAGAGAGAGAGAGAGAGAGAGAGAGAGAGAGAGAGAGAGAGAGAGAGAGAGAGAGAGAGAGAGAGAGAGAGAGAGAGAGAGAGAGAGAGAGAGAGAGAGAGAGAGAGAGAGGAGGAGAGAGAGGAGAGAGAGAGAGAGAGCGAGAGAGAGAGGAGAGAGAGAGAGAGAGAGAGAGAGAGAGAGAGAGAGAGAGAGAGAGAGAGAGAGAGAGAGAGAGAGAGAGAGAGAGAGAGAGAGAGAGAATGAGAGAGAGAAGGCCAAAATATCCTCGCCAGGAGAAGGTGCAAGTGACAGGCGTACATAACATATGTCCAAGAAAGAGTTTGAATAAAGAGCTCAGAACAGACAGGAGATGTCTGGCGGAGAAAAAGGGAGAAAAACATCGACTTCCTTTGTCCTCCTCGCCAGGGAGATCTTCCTTAAGGGTGAAGGAACTAGGAGGGAGGGAGGGAAGAGTGAGGAAGGGAGAGGATAGAGAAAGGAGAAGGGAGATGGATTAGGAGGGAGAAAAGGTGGTAGAGGTATGATAGATAAGAAAGAGAGACAGACGGAGAAAGATGAAGATGGAGGAGAGGAGAGAAATGGGAAGAATGAAGAGAGAGAGAGGAGAAGAGAGAGAGAGAGAGAGAGAGAGAGAGAGAGAGAGAGAGAGAGAGAGAGAGAGAGAGAGAGAGAGAGAGAGAGAGAGAGAGAGAGAGAGAGAGAGACTGACAGACATAAAGACATACAAGAAAAAAAAACATACACGCAATTTAAAAAATCCAAACAAAACCAAAAAAAAAAAAAAAAAAAAAAGAATAAAAAGAAAAAAAAGAAAAAAAAAGAAAAAGTAAAAAGAAAGCAGACGACAGCAAAAGACAGAAATCGACGTTGGTCAGAAGAATGATCATTACAGAATTATATTTTAGCTGAAGTTAAATCCCTTCCTGTGTTCTCGAGCCCTGAGTCAGCAAAATAGGTAAAGCGAAGGAAAATTGAAATCAGACGCATATATCACTTGCACTTATCACTATTTTCAGAGGGGGAAATTCTACGAGAAATTGAGAAGGAAAAACTACAACACACAAATGCATTTTTTTTAGTTTAAAAAATACGTAGCACAGAGGGTATTGACACTTACCTGAATACAGATAAAATGTACTAGGAAAATGTATATGTAAAAAAATAGGAATAGAAAGAAGAATTGGAAAGGAAATGATAGATAGATAGAAAGAAATTAAGGAAAAAATGGTTACGATAATCCAGTCATAACAATACCTGTGTTAAAGATCGCCATAGTTACTGACACCAGTCAAAAAAAAAAAAAAAAAAAAAAAAAAAAAGTGAGACACAGCTAAATATTTTTATACCTTCACTGAACACGATAAGCTGCCTTTCTTGTCTCTAGTAAGGAGCCAGCTGTACACCCATTAAACCATCAAATAACGATCTTGAATTAGGGGGAAGTGGGGGAGGGGAAATGGGGTGAGGTGAGGGAGGAAGTGGGAAGGGGG